ACCGTGTTAGTTGTTTGGAAAACTTGTTTAAGGAAACAAGCTTTGTTTCTCGGTACTTATTTCTTAAAGTAAAATCTAAGTTTTAAACTGTTTTTAATTATTCTACATTGCAGAACGATGGCCTTGCAGGAGCAGGTCTGGCCAGTCCCAATGAAGGCAATTGGAGCACAAAACCTTTTGACAATGCCTGGAGGAGTGACCAAATCAGGGTATCTTCATAAAAAAGGAGGCACCCAGCTGCAGATCTTGAAGTGTAAGTTGAATGAGTTATTACCTAATGTTTTAAATTAAATGTTTTAAATGCTTGCCTTTGAGGCCATTAACACATTTCATGTTAGCAGACTGTTTAATGAAGCTGTTCTTCCACTTATTTTTATCAGTAATAGATTACAATTTTATTGGAATATATGTATGAAAGACCTATACTGAAAGAATTTCCTTTAATTGTTTTGGAACTGTAAATCTTATGTGATAAATGTTGTGGTTGATTTTCTTTTACTTGGTTAAATCTCTTGTCTAGTCCTTCACAAGTAAGATGTTAAAAACAGGAACAGATTCCCGGGATATGTATCAATTTCAAATATTCTTTTCTGAAATAAATTAGTACTCAGCTTTTTTTCCAGTTGGTTATTCTGTACTGTAAAAATATCCCCATCTACTACTGCTGTTGTGAAATGGAAACATTCTCACTGCCAACATTAGGCTGTACTTAAAAACAGTAATTGCTTCTGGAGTCAGAATCGATTTAAATAGAGAAAACAACACTTGGAGTTTATTTATATGCTCTTCATTTGCTATTTCTTTATAACTAAACTATATTTATATAGTTAAGAACAAAGATTGCTACCTTTGATAAAGGAATGAATATTGGCCCCTTTAAAAAAAGAAAAGAAAATGTTTTATTGGCAGGTTTATGTACTTGAGGTGAAAGAAGAGAGGGAGATACTATCGTGGTTTTGGGATGGACATAAATATGTATTTGTAGTCTGTGGCTGCCTTTCTCCCATTTTGTTTTAGGTTGCATTCTTACAGTAGCTTATTCCTCCAGTACAGGAGCACAGGTGGAGGTCAGACCTGCAGTCTCATAGGCTGCTTTTCAAGTTATCAGATCAGCTGCCCCTCAAATGAGGGAAGCAAATACTACCCTTACTCCAGAAACTCTGTGAATGGAAAGCTTTACAATATGGCTGCTCATCAACAAGCTGTCACTTAACTAGTTTGTGCTTTTTTGTAATGATTAATAAAATTACTAACAATAATTCTACCCAAGTTAAGAGGTTTTAGTTAATGTACTGCCTTTGGATTTATATTCTGCTCACTTTTTTCTTTATCTTTTCAGGGCCGTTGAGATTTGTGATTATCCATGAGGGATGTATTTACTATTTTAAGAGCAGCACATCTGCATCTCCACAGGGTGCATTTTCTTTGAATGGTTACAACAGGTGAGTGCCAAAGAACTTATTTAACACCCAAGCTCCTTTTACTTAATGTAGAGGGCTAGGGCTTTCCTTTCCAACTAAGTTAAACTCAACTACATCTGTTGTTTGGCTTAAGCACTGTTCTCTGATTCCAAGAGATGTATTCCTTTCAGATTGTATATATGACATTTCCTGTGCTTTGCAAGTGTATAGCCTTCATCTTTCGTAATTTAATCAGTAAAGCTGTTAAAACTGCAATGGGCTTACTTTTGTTACTGACTTAATGGAGACTTTGCACATGCAGATACATGTGGGTTCTTTCACACAAACAATCTTTGTTCTCTAGTGATTTCAATGATCCTCACAAAACCAGAAGGGAATCAGAAAGGAATTTTTATGGAGTTACTGATTCATTAACACTAATTAGCGTTAAAATTGAATCAACTACAAGAGTGAAAAATGAGAGAATGCATTTGCAAAATGTCTGGCTCATTTTGCTACACATTATAAATCTTAATATTTGCTTTTTAAGTCGAAGACAAAAATAATGACTTTTAAGTTAACTAGCACTATCAGAATCTGACTGAGTGCAGCTACATACAAGGCCTACTAATAGAAGTCCAACCTAACTTTGGGAAATTGCTGTTGTAATTGATGAGAATTTGGAGAAATACCACATTATTGATCCTAACCACTGCAATTTTATTGTATTTGTAAACATGTATGTTATTCTTGTACTGCATAATGTTCTCAGACTTTTGGAATAAGGAAATATCTGTTGTTAGAACATGAGAGCTTCCTAACTGACCACAACAATGCTGTATTTTATAGGAATGCTTACAACAGACCCTACTGAAAAGTTTGTCCCCATCTTTCTTATAAGCCCCCTTTAAGTATTGAAAGGCCAAAACAATGTCATCTTGATTAGGTACCTAACCAAATGTTTCTGACAATCTTTTCTTCCTATGTTTACAAACCACCTTCCCTAAATATTAAGGACTTATGGAAATACTGTATAAGAATGACAGTAAAAACTTTAATCAGATTTCTCTGTGGCTCATGCTGAATAAATCTTAAAATTACTTTTAGATTACCCACAGTCTTAGGGTTTTAGTCTCCCTATTTGTTCCAAAGCCTCATAGTGAGCATTTACAACCAAATTTTTGTGTGTAAGGAATTTCCTCATTTGAGACTCCTTTGGGGGGAAAAAATAAAACGAAACAAACATATCGAATGCATTTTGTGAAAGAGGCTGAGTTATGCTTGTTATAAACATTTCTTGCACATTATTATTTTAAAAAGGAAAAGTGGCAAAATTAATTTAACTTTTAATATTAGTTCTCATTTATTTTCATGGACTGCCTGTGTTTTGATTTCTTCTCTGTACCCTTCTGAAATAAGGACCACAGGCACCCTAAATCTGTGTGTAAAGAATTTCCTCATTTGAGACTCCTCCAGGGGGGAAAAAATAAAATGAAACAAACATATCGAATGCATTTTGTGAAAGAGGCTGAGTTATGCTTGTTATAAACATTTCTTGCACGTTATTATTTTAAAAAGGAAAAGTGGCAAAATTAATTTAACTTTTAATATTAGTTCTCATTTATTTTCATGGACTGCTTGTGTTTTGATTTCTTCTCTGTACCCTTCTGAAATAAGGACCACAGGCACCCTAAATCCTTCTTGCCATGGTGTGAAGCTTGTGAATTAATGCAATTCATTAAAACTCTTATACAGGTGAAAGCCACATTTTTAAGTGGCTTCTGGTTTAACTAGTGCTTTTTCTCCTGTCAGCACTCTCACGTTGTCCTTTCTACCACTTTAATGGAGAAGTATAACAAATGCACATATGGGGATTTTGGTGGCGTTTTCCTGGGCTTGGGGGTTATTTTTGGTAAGGCAAAACTGACCAGTAAAACTGCTTTCTGTCAGAGCTTTATGACTTGCAGAGCAGAATTAACTTAGAGAATAAGTTTTTCATGTATTGGTTGTTCTGTTTCTCAGGGTTATGCGGGCAGCTGAAGAGACAACATCAAGCAATGTGTTTCCTTTCAAGTTAGTTCACATTAGTAAGAAGCACAGAACATGGTTTTTTTCAGCTTCTTCTGAAGATGAAAGAAAGGTAACTTTCTTCTTCTTTTGCAGTATAATTTTCCTTGAAGCAGAAAGTGAATCTTGTACTTCCCTAAAATCTAAATGAACTGGACACGCAGCTGTCACTGAAATTTATATACCTAGTTCTTTGGGTTCCTCTGAAAATCATGATTTAAAGATGAGTGTGTTGAATGTTGTATTTTTATTCTTATTTAGAACTGGATGCTATCCCTGAGGAGGGAAATTGATCACTACCATGAGAAGAAAGAAACAATAACAGAATTCAGGTATCAACCATTAATAATTATTTGTTTTTTATCTCTTTTGCACTAGCTCTTGACAATGGTGTTCTAGGATCTTTGCACCTACAAGTAATTTACTGTTACATAAAAACAGGTGCAGTAAGGTAAGAATCAAAGGCCTTCCTAGCACATAGTTTAAAGAATACGAAGACAAAAATAAATGTTTTTACTAAGAGAACTTTAAATGTCAGCTTTGTGTAAAACAAATAAAAACTTTAAAATGACAGTAGCAACGTATCTGGCTGTTAATTAGGAAATAGGAGTAGATTGCTTCTGCTTTTCCAGTGCTGCAGTCCTGCTACCAGACATGTTTACTGTCCCAAGACCCACAGCACAGTGATGAAGAAGGTACTCTGTCTTTTCTTTTGCAGTGACTCTGGTTCTGATGCAGACAGTTTCTACGGCTCAGTAGAACGTCCCATTGATATCAAGTATTCTCAGCATTCAGCAGATAATGAAGGTGACAAATTTAGACTTTTAGATTTAGAATTTTAAATAAGATTTATTTGCTTATTTATTTCTTTAGGATTCTGCAGGAACTATTCCCATAGCTTAAGTGAAGCGATCTAATTTGCAACTGTAAATTCTTGTTTTTACAAGATGTGTAGTTGTAATTTTAAATCAGAAGCAGATATTCTGTGCCATAAACCATAAGTAAAAATAAATGGTAACTCAAGAAATTCAGTTCTTTCAAGGAAATATCCAACACCCTAATAAATAATATTTAAAATTTATATTATGACTACATGTTGGAGAGTGTGTAGATCTAGCAAAAAGATAAAACTTTTGAGTATGTCCATAGGTCCTAGTGTGGAAATACAAAGTGGTCTTTATTATGGCAATTGAATATTATTGACAATAATTGAATATAATTATAATAATAAGATATTAGTCACTTAAAAGTATGTTCTGAAAACATGCAGAGACAATGTAGTAAAACACTGTGGAGCTAGTTACCTCCTATCTAGACTGTAAAATTAATTCACCTGTCCTGCAAAACAAGCAGTCACCTGCACTGGCATGTTGTTGCATCTGTGTTTAGTCTGTTTAGTATGAAACAGAATTGATCATCCCTCCAGTTCAGGAAGATCTTATGTTAGGCATAGGATGGGCCTATGTGAAACACACAGGATAACATTCTTCAATGACTCTCAAACTGAGTAACTATTTAAAGTAAGGCTCTGAAAATCTCATTCTCAGCATAGCCTTTTTTAATCAAAGTTTGATATCTGTTCACTGCTCTAGTTGTTTCACAGTAAACAGTCCTGGCTAAGTTTATTTTTTAATTAGAAATGAGAACATTACAGAAAGCCTGTCAGATAGGCCTTTACAGCATATTTCAGCAACTGACTTCCTAGTCAAGAAATGTGTTAGTAAAATCCAACATGAGATGCCTCGCCTCAAGGTTCAACATAGTTCCTTTACTAGGCGTTTTCCTATCTGCCCTTTCAGATTGCTAAGGATTAGAGCAAGTACTCTCATTTCCTGTAAGGAAATTCCTGACTATTTTTCCTGAGTAGGACAAAAAGGCAGGAGTGAGTCTTTTCAGGAAATCCGGTTCAATTACTGCAAAGCAGAGAAAAACAGACTCATCAGCATTTCATGTAGGATTGTAGTTTAGTACTTCTGTGTATGAATTATGTTAGGAGGCCTAGCAGGAGTTTAAATTAGGAAAATTAGAAGAGCTAACTAATTTTTATCAGATACTCTCTGGGAAAATACTGCATATTGCCTTGGCTCCTATCATAGTTAATGATGAGAAATTATTGCCTAGAAGTAGCATGTTTTTCATGTCTTGGTTATTCTGACTTACAGTTAAAGGCAACATTGAAACCATTTAAGCCACTTTTTGTGATCCTTTTTCTGTTCTTGTTGTTGCCAGAGCACGGAAAATTAATTGTTTTGTAGATCGCTAGGCTTGCTTAGGCTTAAAAAATCATCAATGTTTCTGTGTTAGGATTAGGTTTTGGGAATTATTTTTTCCAACTGGTTTTGCCAGTGCATCCATTTGGTTGTATGTCTGCAACTGATTTGAATTTTTCTCAGGAAGGCTGTAACACTAGAAAGTATCACCAGAAAGTAAATTTTAACTTGAAAGATGGAAAAAAATTAATGTGCAGTGTAGTTCATCTCCCACTGTTGTAAGTGATGGCTTTCTTAATTTACATCAAAATTTAAAGAAACACCTATTGTAAATAGCAAAGAGGTGGACCAAAATTTTTTAAATTTTTTTCCACCTCTTTTAAAAAGAAATTAACTCAAAAATATTTGTTTGTTAAAAAGCAATAAATACTCAATACTCTTTCTTGGTTCCAGGCGTACTTATCAGAGTCTGACACACTGATTATTTTATTTTTTTTATGTTTTGGGTTTTTTTTTTTATCTGCAGATTACGACCAGGAAGAGGATGATGAGTCTTACTTGCAGCCAGATACTTCTGACATAGTGAAAGATGGTATGTGATTTCTTTCATTCCCTTCACAAAAGGCCCCATGAACAGCCACCAGTGAAGGCAATGTTCATGTAGAATGCCAGATTATTATTTTCGCTTGGTCATATCTTAAGCATTGCAGGTGGTAAAATAACTGAAATAATGCACAGGTATCTAATTTTGAGAGGTATTTAGGGTCAAAAGTTCCTAGTAACAGCAGTAACAATTTACAGTGTGTTACATGCCTCTAAGGGCATGTTTTCTTGCAGACCTCCTGCCCTGGAAGGACCTATATCTGGTCATCAGTCTGGAGGAGGGGTAATGCTTTTAATGTAGTCTCTTTTTCTTTATTTTTAGCCAAGGGAAAACTCTGCAAAGTCATCATAAGCCATGCCTGAATAAAAATTGCAGGAGTTTACTGCACTTAACATTCAGAATTGTGCTGAAAGTTAAATGCTTATTCAGTATTTTGGGTACTATCAGATCAGATGCCAAAGAAATAACTTGATTCACGTGGAAAATAAATCTGAAAAGTTTTGTTTCTTGACGTACTGTGTTTCCCCTCAGTGTGTCATGTGTTTTGGATGTTTTCTTTCTGTAGATATGGTCCTGCCCCCAGCCTACCCGCCTCCACCAGTTCCTCATGTCAGAAAAACTGCCTATTCAGAATCAAGGGCAAATTCCTTTGCTGGAAAATCTACTGTCCCAGTACCACCACCGCCTCCTAAAAGAAGCTTACCTGATATCAAACTAGAGGAGGTCTTAAACGTGAGAGAACATCAGTTACAGTGTCGAGCTGAACCTAATGTAAAGATTCAATCCTCAAGCCGTAGACTAAGTGAACAGCTGCCCCCTGTGCCCCCTCTGCCTCTCTTCAAAAAGCCTCAGTGTGTCAAAGAATCTTGCTCGCTGCTTCCAGAGCCTCTGCCTCTAGCTCAAGTTCTTGCTACTTCAGAAGGATGCGAGAAGCTAAAAACCTTAAACCTTTCACCGCGAACTCCTCCTCCACTACCAAGCAGTAAACCCAAGCTGTCACAGTTAACTGAAAAGCCAGTAGAGCCCAGAGTGCCAAGAGAACATGGCAAACCTGGACTGTTTGTGCCACCAGTGCTCCCAAAGCCACCTGTGCCAAGCCACCAGCCCCCTGGAATCAAGCCTAGACCAGAGAAGTCTTCATGTCCCCAGTTACAGTAAGTACGAAAATACAACACACTATTATGTTTTTCCATTGTGGATTAGTTAACTCATTGGCAGACATATTTCTGAGATTCACATTGACATCTGTTGCTCTTCCCTGCACCATACCTCTCTTCCTCAGTGTTGTGCTTTTTTGCCTCTGTATTTGTTGTTTGAAAATTTTGCAATGAGTTTAGCTTCTGAAATAGTTCAGAAAGAAATAGTAGATAAACAACACTTTTTTTTAAAAAACAACAAACCCAACACCAAAATTTTATAGTTCATTTGTTTTCAGGTCCGTCTTAAAGACTTAGAAGCCTTTGATCACAGTGAATAAGAAGCCTTTATGTCAGAACCTCAGTGAACTGCAAAAAACAATTTTAGGTTTCTGTGGAGATAGGAAGTGTTTCGTTTTATATTAAGATCAGCTTTAGTAAGGGATGTTGAACTAGTTATGGTGGTGAGTCAGATGAAAATATTTTTGTCCATTGGATCATTTAGCAGCTCTGAAGAACTTTGAAGAACTCTGAAGAATTGGTTTATTTAACCAATAAACACTTTAAGGACAGTCCAAGAAAGACATATATACTGGAGTGAGTCCAGTGGAAGGCCACCAAGGTGTTTGGGCTGTAGCACATGATATGTGAGAAAAGGCCGAGAGAACTGGATTCGTTCAACCTTTAGGAAGGCTAATGGGAGATCACTGCTGTCTACAACTACTTAATGGGTGGGTATGGAGAAGACAGAGCAACACCTGAGAGGCCTGTAGTGATAGGATAAGAGGCCACAGGCAGAAGTCACGACCTGGGATATTACAGCTAGGTATTAGGAAAAACTTGTCACCATGTGGATGGTGAAACAGAACAAGTTGCTGTGGAAAGGTTATGGAATCTCCATCCTTGGAGATAGTAAAAACTTGACAGGACACTGCTTCCTGAGCTACTTGATCTAGTTGGACCTGCTTTGTGCAGGAGCTTGGACTAAATGATCTCCAGAGGTCCTTTCCAATCTAAATTAAGCTGTGATTTGGGGACTAAACTGAAACTTGCTCTTCAGTTCTAGTTTTATTATCCCTTCAGTGTTTTGTGTATGTTTGTTCTATTTTCCTGAGGAGATGTCCTTCAGTTTTTGTTCTGTTTCTGCCAGGAGATCACCACCAGATGGACAGAGTTTTAGAAGCTTCTCATTTGAAAAACCAGCAGTACCTTCCAAGCCAAACCAACCTGATGATGATTCTGATGATGACTATGAAAAAGTAAGATCAAGCAAATGATCCATTCTCAAAAAGTATTTTTCTTGCTTACGTATGCTTTTGGGAACATTTTAAATGCATATTTCAGGAAAAAAAAATCTTTCTGAAAACACAGCACTATGTGATTATTTTTTTTTTTTAATTATTATTTATTTATTTTGGAGCTTTAAAGAATGCCTTGATAAATTCTGGCCTTTAATATTGGATGTAGTAGAGGAAGAAGCATAAAGTAAAAATTAAATCACCATTAATAATTTCAGATACTGATGGCTGTAGCTTATTTGCATAATAAGTCACTAGCATTTTGAGTTGTCATTGACTTACACAGTGATTTATTTTCTTCTTTTTTTTTTTTTAAAGGTTGGGCTGCCTGCTTCAATATTTCTTAATACCTCCGAATCCTTTGAAGTTGAAAGGTAGAGTGTTACTTTAAAATAGTTGAAGTCCTACAAAAACCTGCACTGAATAGTAGTCCAAAGATCATTTTGATAGGTACCATTTGTGTTTAAAAACAAAAGTATTTAAATTCCTTTAATATGGAAATTGCTTTTCAAGGGAGTTAGTTCAGTGCTCCTGTATCAATTGAAAATGAATACTACTTGCAAAGTGATTTTACTCCATCTGGAGAAGGTTGTTCTGCCAGGATGCTAGATGGGACGGAAAGCCAGATTTTCTGTGCTGTGTTGCTGGTTCAGATGCCAGAACAGTGAAATTCTTTTAGCTATGATGTACTATGAATTAATACAACCAAAGCAGAGATTCATCATAAGAATTTTAAGAATCGAGTCATTTTACTTGTCTGTTTTGGAAAATGCTAACATATGTAACTGCTGTATTCTTTTTAGGACATTTAAAGCTAGTAGCCCACGAGGACAACCACAAAATGGATTGTACTGTATTAGGAACTCATCCACTAAGCCTGGAAAGGTAACTTGCAATTGCTGAATCTACACCCCAAAACCCTTTTCGATTCAGAGATACTGTATCTTCAATATATAATAAGAATTTAGATGTGCTTTTTCCTTAAAGCAAGTAAATCTGAGACAATCACTATCATAACTTCAGTGATTTTTGTGGGTTTTTTAGACTGGATTGTAACTAATTCATTAATGATACATTGACTTAGAAGAGCTTATTAGCATAGACTGAATATGTTGCATTTTTCTTCTTAAAGGTATTGGTTGTATGGGACGAATCTGCAGAAAAAGTGAGAAACTACAGAATCTTTGAAAAGGTCAGTAGCTGCTCTGTGTGTGCATGTATGCCTGTATGAATTTCATGTATATATATGTGTATAAAGTGTGCCTGTGTATAGGTATGTATCAGAACTAACAAGTTAAAGTCTAAACTTCTTCCTATTCCTAAAAGTAAAAATAAGCTGATTTAAAAATATCTAGTCTAGGATGGAAGTTTGTGTACTCAGGTCTGTGCTTTTGATTTGGCATATCGTGTGAAGGACAAACTAGGTGTAAATGTTCACATTTAAATTTCAGCTCCAGGCAAATCCTAAAGGGAGGAATATTAAATTCCTGACTTTAATTTGGACTTATTTGTGTAGGTGACTAGTTTGCAAAGTAGTAGCTTGTTTGAAAGAACTGATGATGTGGGTTTTTTTAAATGTTGAGTTGGAAAAATTACAGTCAATGATTACATATGGTTTTGTTCTACAACAGGATTGCAAGTTTTACCTGGATTCAGGCATCATGTTTTTGAACGTGGGAAGTTTGGTTGAATACTACAGCACTCATGTCTTACCTAGTCACGACAGTCTGATTCTTCGGTATCCTTATGGTTACTCTAAACCAAGGTGACATGACTGGCGTAATTCACTGACGCACAGGACAAGTGGGTTCCCTGCTGCCCTTGAATTAAATGTGGACTCCTGCCACTGTTGGACATCCCATTGTTTGCACACAGAAGCTGAGTCTGTTTCAAACATTTATTCTCATATTAATTGTATATAGACTCCATTTAATGAACTCTTGGTAAAACCTTACAATCCAGATCAGTGGATTTTATGGTCTTTTCTTTTAAAAAGATCTGAGCTGATCATGCTGTGAAAGCTGTCGATGATACCTACACCTTCTATAAAACTGCTGCTATTACTAATAATCTCCTTGGAATGTGGAAGATGGACACGAACAAAGAAGTGGTCTGAATACAACCAATACAGAAAAGGGAAACTTGTGGAAGTATATCAGAATTCACTTGTAACTGGGAATACTAATACTCTGACTTGAAGGCATTACCCCTTAAGTCAGCACTGGTGCTCAACTGAGAGGTGTTGTATTACTTGTATAGTTGACATGTAAATAATGAAGACGTATCTGCAAATAATTTGGTTTACTATAGGTAAAGATGATCAGGAAATGTGGCTTTTTTTAAGCCACCTCATACGTAGATGTAACTTCTGATTACAATGTCTGCAGTAATCAATATCAGGGTACTATCCAACTGATACAGTTGTGGCATCCCGCATTACTTAATGACTTGTACTGCACATTGGTGTGGAATAATATTGACTTTCATGGGAGCCCTGTTCCTTAGCTCTGAACTGGAAGGGTAGGTGCCACTACTATTTTAAGGGGCATGAGAAAAGAGCAAGGACTACTTAACATTAAGGGGAAAGGGAGGGACTCTTTTAAATACCCAAAATTCTGACTAGTGTTTTTTTTCTCACATTGCCATCATCAAAGGTTCTTCAAAACAAAACACACACACCCCCCACACACACCCCCACCCCCCTGAAACCGGGAGCGTGATGCTAGTATCGCTCTGTAAGTCTTTGCAGTCGGTCTCTTAGGATCAGTTTGTCAGCCCACTGCCATCTGTTCTGTTCTAGGGCAAAACATACTGCCCTAGTCTACTTTTTGTAGTTCAGCAAGAATTTTCCCATTATTAAAATCGCTACTCAGTATGTTAAAAACAGATTTTATTTTGCATACAACTACAATCAGCACTATCAGTGATAGCCATTAGCAGGGTGCTTGTAATATTTGTTCCCTAATATTTTGGGGACATGTATCCTAACACCAAGGGCTTGATTCTATTCCTAAATTTTAGTAAAGAAGAGAAATTTATTTTAATGAGCTGTTCAGTAACTTTGTTGATTCAAAAGTACTGTTATAATGGTCTCATATATCTAACAATGTTTACAAGACTTGTAATAAAAAAAAAATAAATCCTATCACTCTCCTGAAACAGGAGAAGGGATCTAGTTTCATTCAGTCTGAATCTGTATCCATAACTTAATTTTTTCTGTTACCTTTTCAAAGTTTATACATGTCAGTTTTAGTCTTGTTACAGTTAGATGGTCACAACTTTAAAAACATAAACAAAACCGTTTACAGAAAAATAATTTTCTGTTTATGAAAACAGTAAATATTAGGACCATACCAAGGAATTAAGGCAAGAAACTCTGCCTCTTACCATTTTCAAGAGACACAGATGTACACAATATCAGTCTTTTGATCTCTATTCCCACTGCATATAAGTAAAGAATATGCAATAGTTAAATTTCAGATTCTGTTGAATATTGGATATTCTAAGTTTCTAATTCCTTTTATTTTAAATGAGTATCCCTGTGGTTCACTACCCTGATATGAGCCACTCTGTAAAGAAGACTCAGTAACAAAGCATTTAAAAAAGATTTTTGGATATAGATATATGTATATTGGGGCAAGTTCTAGTTTCTTGCAGTATTTACATATACTGTTTACAGAGTAAATTTTTCTCTATCTGGGAATAATTGACTCCATTGTGTCACGACAGTCATACTTGCAGTATGCTATCTTTGGGGCCCTATTCAGATATTTAATTTTAATGTTTTTTGCAACCATATACTCTTAAGATTTTAAACTGCAAAAATACTTGTGTAATCCAATACATATAAAACATAACGCTCTCTTTACCTGTGTAATACAAGATTTGCAAATATGTACATTTTTAATTAATTTCCTTTTTATATAAATGTATATATTTCTGAAATGGATAAACTTTCAATGCCAGTTCACCTAATTGTGCAGTCATCTTTAACTTCATGGGGGTGTGTTTTAATGCTTGTTTGTAGTTGTGTTAAATAGTGCTTGATTCTTCTGTCCCTCAAGTTACAAGAATTAGTTTTCAGCCTCTTTCAGAAGCAAGCCTTCGTGTAAGTGACACTATCAGAAATTTGGCTTTCTGGTCATCAGACAGTGTGGCTGGGGATAGAAATTACCCATTTTCCATTTACTTCTTCAAGGTTTCCTGAGTGCAGGGCTGAGGACTGAAGTATTCATTTTACCTATGGACACAAATAAAAGTACAAGCATAAGAAAAAGAGCATCTCAGAGGAACAGGAATGTTTGAGCAAGAAAGCCAAGTCTCCAAAGGTGTTCTTCAGGAGCTTGCTTAGGAAAAAAGGACCTTCCAATTTCCCAGCACCAAAGAGCCCTTCTGCTCAGAAACATCAGTGTAACCTGGTATGTTAGTACAAGTACGGTAGGCTTACTACCTTGTAGGTTTGCATGTCTGACATGCCCAGAATTCAAGGTAGGAGGTATAGATAAGGACACGCTAGCTAATCCCATCAACCCTCCAGAGGCAGGCAGAAGGGCTCCGAACAAATCTGCAATCACTTACACTCTCTCTTCCAAGTCATCTTGCTCCTACATACTCTATTCTAGTCTTTATGCAGAATTAGATGAAGTTAAATTTCTGGTGTTTGTGTGGTAGAAAGGCATAGCTAGAACGCATGGCTCATAGTCTGTCTCCTTTACCTCTTACTAACCTGGCTCTCCTCTTTCCTTCACCACAAATCAGCCTTTTGCCTATACAACCTACTGCAAGCTCCTTAGCTTTAAAATAGTTCGTGGAGGAGTGTAACAGCAGTATTTGGTATGCCAAAAAAATGCGGTTTGTGAGGTTTTGGTAATGTCAAAGTCAAAATAATTGATAATAATTTGGAAGAAGTCTTACCTCTTCTATCTAAATTTCCAAGAAAAAGTGTTACAGGTGATATTTGTGGGGGGTATTGCTCTTCTGGGGGGAAAAAAGAATTAGAGTGGCTTTGAAAATAAAAGTTTCAGCAAGGGCCTGTCAATCAAGAGGTAGTGTATTGTAACAAGTGAACAGATACCCAGACATTTTTCTATGACCATAAAGGTGCTTTGTGTCAGCACTCAAGTATTCCCCAGTTCAGAATTTCAGGTTTTTTGCAAGAATGTAAATAAGCAGCGAGAGCATTCATGGCCTCTGGTGCTTCATGCTTTGTAAGTTTCAAAAGGGTGCTAAAGATTTCTCAAGCTTTAACATGATTATTTTGAATTTGGGGACATCTGCTGGTCAGCCAGCTCCATGCAGGGTTCCAAGCAACAGCAATACAGCCACTAAGCAGGTGCATAGAAGTCATTTGGGTAGAACATCAATCCTAAGTGACTTTGAATAGAAGCTAGAGACATGGATTTGGCAGATGGACCACTCAGTGGATAAGGAATTGGCTGGATGGTTGCATTCAAAGAGTGGAGGTCAACGGCTCGATGTGCCAAGTGGAGACCAGTGATGAGTGGTATTCCTTAGGGGTCCATATTGGGACTGGTGCTGTTTAACATCTTTGTTGGTGATGTGGACGGTGGGATTGAGTGCACCCTCAGCAAGTTTGCTGATGACACCCAGCTGTGTGGTTCGGTCGACATGGTGGAGGGAAGCGATGCCATCCAGAGGGACCGTGACAGACTTGAGACATGGGCCCATGAGGACTGCATGAAGTTCAACA